CCCCCCCCCGTGTGAGTGGCGTGAACACCTCGGAGGCCCTCTGTGTAGCATCGCCAGAAAAGATATGCTCTACCATTAGACGTCAGGCGACCTTGGACAGAACCCTCTCCCTCACCGGGAGGTTCTCGCTACAAAAGAGGCAGGTGGACCAGGTAGCTGCTGAGCTCCCGTCAGCCCGTCAGCACTGGGTTCTACAAGCCTCGAGCCTCACTTGCATGTCACGTACTCTCACGGTGGCAGTGTCCACAGCAGTCTGACCTCGCTGGCCACCGACAGAGACACTGGGTCTCAATCTGCACTTGCGGGCAGGAGGCCCAGGCCTTGTCTGAGACTAGAAATGGATGAGAGAGAGGAAGGATTTCAGCCAGGTCTTACTGAAGCAGGGAGAAGGCAGACCATAAAGGGAGAGACACGAGGGCCCAGATGGCGGAGGGCTACCGGAGAGATGGCTGGGAGCTTCAGGGTCTGGCAAGAAGTCTAGCCGGGTGTGTTTCATCCAAGGTTTTTAGAAATGGGTAGAGACTTTGAAAAGCTGTGTGTTTGGGACCAGCAGATGGCATAATGGTTATGTCGCTGGACGCCCACTTAAAACTCACGCTGGGCGCATATGTGTGCATGCCCAAGATCCCAGAGGGGAAGGGATTGCAGCATGGCCATACCCCCTGGGGCGTGATTTCTCACTTTCTGTCTCTCTCTGTGCCTTTGGGGAGCACACGCACCCTATAACAAAAAGCTCTCAAAAAAAGGAAGAAAGAAAGAAAAAAGAAAGCTGCATGTTCAGTCGTGGGGACAGCCAAGGAGAAGTTAGCTGAACTAAAACGCGTGGGGCTGGCACCATGGCTCTGGGCGTCCGTGCGAGGGTAGCTAAATACAGCTGGGCAGTAGGTGCAGGGAGGGGCGAGATGCTGAGTGCTTATGACAGGACAGCAGGGCCAAGCCAGTGGGTGTCGCTGAGAGAAGGGGTCCAGGTGCAGCCAGGGTCACCGTGCGGAGAGCACGGCCGGCCCTGGCAGTCACGGGGGTAAGGAAATGCAGGAGGGCCCGACCCTGCACACCTTGCCAGGAACAGACCGCAGTCAGGTGGCTGCTGTTCAGTTATGCTTTAGCTCCTTATTACCTTCTCCCCAGCCATTCCTGTCACTCATGTACTCAACTTGATCTGAGCGGTAGGAAGGCTCTGAATGTGTGACACGAAATAGACGCCCCTTACAGACTCTGACCCGGGGCCGGCAAGTGGCACAGTGGTTAAGGGCACTGGACTCCCACATGGCTGACCATGGTTCGAGTCCCAGATCTGGCAGTTTGCTTTCTCACTTTCCCTCTCTCTCTCTGTTCCTTTCTGTCAAATTTAAATAGATAAATAAAGTGAAATAAAATAATTTTTTTAAAAAAAAGAGAGACTGATCAAGCTCAGCACAGAGGTGGTTCCCCTGGGCCCCACCCCCAGCACTGTCTGGCCAATCCCATAGGGCTGGGAAGGGGCTCACGAAAATGAGCATCTCCCTGCAGCATGGTGTCCTGAAGAAAGGTGTTTTCTTTCCTTTCTCTTTTTTAAAGTTCATTCTATGAGGAGCCAGAAGGTGATGTGGTGGTTAAGGTGCTGGATTCCTACCTAGTCACCCTCAGTTCAAGTCCTGGACCTGGCTGCTGGCTTTCTCACTTTCTCTCTATCCCTCCCTCCATCTCTCCCTAGTGAGCACACATGGCCTATAGAAAAAAATTTAAAAAATTAGAAAAAAATTAGAAAAAAATGAAATTAGGGGGTTGGCAGGTGGTGTGGTGGTTAAGGGCACTGGACTCCTACGTGACCGACCATGGTTCAAGTCCCAGACCTGGTGGCTTGCTTTCTTGCTTTCCCTCTCTTGCTCTTTTTCTGGTCAAATTAAAACTAAAGTTAAATAAAATAATTTTTTACAAATAATAATAGATAATTCTTTTTTTTAGCGTTTATCAGGGCTGTCAGGTGTTGTGGTGGTTAATGGCACTGGACTCCCACGTGGCCAATGGCAGTTCGAGTGCTAGACCTGGCAGCTTGTGTTCTCTCTCTCTCTCTCTCTCTCTCACTCTGTCTCTCTCTGGTCAAATGATAAATAAATAAAGTTAAATAAAATATTTCTTTTTAAAAAAGAAACAGTTCGTCCTATGAGAGAGTAGGGAGACAGAAACACAGAAACAGGCAGCCCTGTAGGGTCCTCCCACAGCGCCCCATCCCCCGCCCAGTGTCAGCTGGCCCAGGTCGCAGACTCACCAGTGCTTGTGCTCAAGGAGGTCTCAAGACCCAAACCCAGGACCTTTCCCATGTAAGTCCAATTGCATTGCTACTGTGCTCCCCCGAATGATTTATTTTTACCCCAGTCCAGTAGAAGGCAGAAAAAAGTAAGATTTTTAGGACATTTGCAAAAGGGTACAGGAGCCTGTGATAGGACCCAGGACCGGATCTCTCCCCTGGTCCACGTGGGAAGTTCGATGCCTAATGCCCTCCCACTTTCCCGACAGTGCCGTGGTGCTCGATGGCAAGATTTATGCAACTGGAGGCATCGTGAGCAGCGAGGGGCCTGCCCTGGGCAACATGGAGTCCTATGAGCCTGCAACCAACACGTGGACCCTCCTGCCCCACATGCCCTGCCCCGTGTTCAGACACGGCTGCGTAGTGATAAAGAAGTACATTCAGAGCGGCTGACATGGCAGGAAGCCCCGACCAGACTATGGACAGGTCTGCCGAGGCCAACGCTACACTCACTGGGAAATTTTCAGCAACCCCGACAAGAGGCCGACGAAACACCATCAAGGAACTCTCTGCGCTAAACATTTTGAATATTCTCTACATTGAATGTAGAAAGCCCTCCTCGCCTTTGGGTGAATCGGGGGGCCCAGCGCTCCGAGCAGCAGGAACCACGAACTGGCCGGGCTGGGGCCCGCGGGCTCCTGTGGGGGCGCTTGCTCTGAACAGGGGTGCTCGCTCTGCCCAGTGCAATAGAGTTTCACATATTTTTCAACTGGGAGAGAGAAGCTGTTTTTTGCTTCCTGCAGAGCAAGCTTGACCCCTACAC